TTATGTAAAATGGGACTGTTTAGATATTTTTATGATATTTTTTGCGGTTACACTTATTTCATTCCAATTTATTTTTATGCAGTCACTCTTGAATTGCATGAGTTAAGATGTTCAAAAATGAATATTTACAATGACTTTAGCCCAAAAATTACAGATTTTGTTTTTTGCTATTCACTATCAATGGGGTCAACACATTGCATCATGTTGAGTAATTTTTGTTGCTTTTTATAGTTTCAACATTCACTGTGAAAAATTGAACAACAAATTTGAGTGTAATCACTCATTTTCTCTGAAAATATGTAGGGGACCCCAGCACAGTTAGTGGGACTAATTGCAATTGACGTTCTTATTTATTTTGTTGGATCACTAATACGTTTTTAGGGACTCTGTAATCAACAGAGTCATAGATTCACAAGCAGTTTGATGCATAAATAGTTTAGAAAATGTGTTTAGAAAACTGGTGGATTCATACGGATCCCACCTGCGAACCACTGAGTTCAGCTTCACTGAGTTTGAAAAACTAATTTTGAATTTTTATTCTTTAAAGGAAAATATAGAAATTTATGATGGATTTAATTTAAATTGAAAATTTTACATATTTTTATGTGCATTTATATGTGAGTTATTATGCTATACAACTTAATAAGATCAATAATTTCAGCTTTACTCTCCTCCTTTTTATTTTCCTGATACCACTAAATGCTACTCTGCCATTCAGTCTTGTAACCTAATATACATGCAGGTGACAGATCAAAAGAAGAGCTGGTATCATTAGGAGCTGTTCCTCCTGTGCTACAACTTTTCAGCCATGCCATTCTTGACATCCAACGTTATGCAGCAATGACTATGACTTACTTAATTTCTGTTGGTAAGTAGCTTACAGATCATTATCTGCTTTTATTCATTTTTGGGTTTTGCATTATTCCTTATACTTTTTATTTTCAGTGAACTTATATTGTTGAGCTGATTTTATTGTATACTACACACACAGACTGCAAATAATATTTAACATTTTAGTATCACAGGATGTAAAAACTAAATGAAGCTTAACAGCTCTTGTTGACGATCTAGGTTTCGCACATAAAATATAATGTGAATGAATATACTTTTAATACAAATGTTCTTGCAGAGATGTTATATGCTGTTATTAGATAATGTCAGATATATTTCTTGAAATATTATACATGCTTGTATGCACAAAATTTTTTAACTTATGTACCGTTATTTGGAGAATAAAACTAATTCTGACAAGGTACCTTACATCTTATCACATACATAGCTATTCTCATTCAGTGCTTCCCTCTATTTGTAAAATCTATTTCACATGCCACAAGCCTTTCAATCCCACATACCCCTCGATTCAGTTGGTTTAACTGATTCTTGCATGCAAAGTATCATGTAAGAAACCTCCACCAATAGAAGCGCTACACACACGTGACTCTATGCTACTCTACCTAACTATCACTTTGAGTTTAGGCAGAAAATTAAGCACCAGTTGACAGTGGTGAATCTCAATATTACTAACTTGTAATTTATTATGAAGTAGAATTATTTTATATTTCTACCCAGTTATGGAACTTAGTCATTAATTACAGACTTTTTCACACTTTTTATTTCTTTTTACCAACACAGTTGTGTTTGGTTATTCATTTTGAATTATAAATTCCAGTTACCACATTGGAGGTTATACCTTCTACAAGCACATTCACACAGGTTTCACGTGGGGGGACCTCAATTATGGAATTATTGGCAGTTATTCGTTGAGTGATTGATCGTTATTTGAACCAACCTTCTTATGATGTTACCCATTTTCATCTTGAACAAGCAAAACCTGAAGCATTTGACAGTTCTTTTCCTCCACCTGAATTTGCAATGTCTTCCCAAGTTCATACTATGGGATTAACTAGGCCTAATACAGCTTTTTGGACATGATTTCGCAGTATGCTCTATTTTTCCCTCTCCCTGGTTTCCTATAATCCTTTCCCTTCCTTGTTACGTGATACCCTCCCTTTCAGTATTTTGTGTTTTCCTCTTCCCCTGATATTGAGGTTCATGCTGAGTATTTTGTATCTCAGTTACATGAGGGTGTTAGCATGCCTCGCCTTCTGTGGGCTTTGGATCAGTTTGCTTTAGCCTACCATCAGGCTGATTTTCCATTCCTTGATTCACAGCATTCCAGTTATTTGCACTTGGACTCTGAATACTTCACTTGCAAGGTGATTTTCATGATAAGTTTAACAAAACTTTTTTTTTATCATACAATTTTCAAATGTCATTTGCGTAACCTCTAGAACATCTTAAATGAATGTCAAAAGTTTTTTTGACTTTCAGCACGGGCTCAATCCCATTTTGTGCTTGTTATAGTTTTCAAGCTATAACTTTTAAATTAGTAAACTTATGTTAACTAAATTTGGCAGATTATCAATAAACATTACAATGTTTTCATACACAAAATATTTTTTTATTAAGTCTTAAGATTTGTAAAGTAATGTTTTTCTCATGCCTTTTTTTTTCTTTTCACGTGTTGCCTATTCGACATGCAAAGTAATTTTCATTTTAAGATTAAAAATACTTTTGTGCATCAAAAAATTTTTCAAATTTCACAAGCGTAATCTTTATAATGTCCAGATAGTTATCAAATGTTTCTTAAGAAAAATTTTATATTTTATCTGTTATTTTCAGTAATGAATCTCTGTACGGGTTTGGTCAATTTGACCAATCTCTTAACCACGTTAAAAAAAATAGGAAATAAATATAAATTATGCCTTTTTCTTTCTAGAATGACTACAGATTATAACACAAAAACGTAAATGTTTAGACTAAATAGCTTAAATTTCATAACCTTATACATATATGTATATTTATTATATTGACCTTTCAATCATTCCTGGCTAACCAATATCCAATAATATAAAACTGATATTTAGTCTTTACAAAGTGACCTATTTTGGCTGTGTTTTAGTAGAGTAATATTTTGTAAAATACAGTCAAATTTCAATTATTATACATTATATATGTATATAGATTATTGCTATTTAGAAATAAGTTCTTAAACTTATTTTTCTTAAAACATAGAACAGTAAATAAAGAAGTAAAGCAAACAATTGTCTCTTCTAGTAACGACCTTTGTACTTGTTTGCTGCTTGACGTAGGTTGCTAAGCCTTGTATAATTTTGCATGTGGAGGATATGAAACAAAATAATTGTTTTAGGTTTTATATATATACAGATGAATAACCAAAAGTACCACAAATTACTATATCAATACCATAAAATTCCACTATAATTTATCAAGCAAAGTAAGTAAGCTGTATTTCAATCTAAAGAAATTTGAAATTTTGAGCAGACTAAAGACACAACCTACCTCTTTGAAATCATGGTTCGAAAAAAAAAGATGGTGTCCAAACCTGTTAAAATGGTTGAGAAAGCCACTAGGGGGACATTCTGAACCTCCAATTGGTTATTCATGCTATATATAGAAGTAAGTGTATATAAG